GGAGGCTACATGAGGGGGAAGCCTACGAAGGACCCAGCCTGCAAAGGGTCTCTCGAAAGACGCAGCCTACGGATTTAGACACAACTAATGAATCAGTAAATGATTTGTAATTTGCCCCAATTGTCAGTCATTGTAATTTCTTCAAATGCTTTCCACAAATTCCTTCAAGGAGACTTAGCTTGTTTCTCTCGGCAGGTTTGTCCAGGCAAAGTCGTGACCATCTTAACCTGGCAAGGGACGAACCCCAACTTGAAATCTGTTTTATTGAATTCGCACACCGACGTTGTTCCAGTTTTTCAGGTACAACACCCCCTCCCCCCGTTGCTCAGTTTTTAGCATCATCATTTGAATCTCGGCTCCGGCTTTCTGGTGGAATGTTCATGTTTGCCTGGTTCGTTGAGGAGTCTAAATCGACTGTCGGTGTGAATGTGAGTGTAAATGGTTGTTTGTCTGAATTTGTCCTTTGAGACGCTGGCAAACAGGCCTCTTGCCTCGAGTCAGCTGGGACAGACTCCAGGTCACCTGCAACCTCAGTGAGGAAAAGCGCTGTTGAAAATGGATGCATGGGTGTCAACACCGCTTGCCCATTATTTTTTGTCGACATATCCAAATACAGATTTGTCATTGTCCTCTCCAGGAGCATTGGATACATGACGCTTTCAGTGCTTTCAAAGATGCGGAAGGCAACATTTACGGCCGCGGCTCGCAGGATATGAAATGTGTGACAATACAGTGGGTATAAAAAGTCTGGACAACTCTTCTACACGCTACACGGGAAATCATCCTCCTCCTCCTCCTCTGTTGTTGTAAACTATGAGAACAATTCACCCTGCAGATTTCCTCTTCAGACTTGTCTTCTCTGTGCAGGTACATTCAGGCTGTGAGACGGCTGAAAGCCGAGGGGCAGAAATTTTTGCGTACTCTGCACTTAACGTTTGTTCCTGGTAAGTCATTCTGGCTTTCCTCGGATTTAGTTTAAACCTCTCATTAGATCTCTGAGAACATCTGCTCAATTGACACTTTCCCCCCTCTTGTGGAAGGCGATTGTCCTTCACGTGGTTCCACCTGAAATCTAAACTCAGACTAATGCAAATTTTAAAGAGTTTACTGAGCCTTACTTTTTTTCCAATAACTAGTGAAATCCAAGACGAAAGGTGAGGCAACAACTCTGCCACAATCAAAATATCGTTACGTTTTGATTGTTTTTAAACAAAACCATGTTTAACACTCTGATGATAGTTTGGATACACATACGACACATCAGACATTTTTAAACTGTACATAGGATAAGAAACACCTCGCAATAGGATTCATGCCTTCACTCGCGGCTCATTTGGGGCGAATTCCCCAGTAGGACTTTATCAAAGTACAAGCTGTGGAATTTGGCTAAAATGGCTGCTTCAAACCAAAAGGGTTGACTTTTACGGGCCTCCTGCTGTGACAGCCACATCCACTGAAATCCGTGTTGATCTGTGAATTTGGGAATTTTTTTCTAACATTTCAGTTGGTGCCACTGAGTAAGTTTTTTAGCTGGTTGTGTTTGGGACCGCCCAAAAAAAAACACATTTCTGTCAAGAAAAACAAAAATCTTATGCAATGCCGAGGCCCCCTGAAAGGCGATTCATTTATCGGAAGAATACTAAATCCCCCGGTGCTGGATTTGTAATAATAACCACAAAATATAAATTCTATCTTCAAATGAAATGCATTTCGACTCGACTATTCTGATGGCTTTTCGTCTTGCAGATGAAGAAGTTGGGGGTGAGAAAGGCATGGAAACATTTGTCAAGCATCCCGAGTTCCAGAAATTAAACATTGGCTTCGCCCTGGATGAAGGTAAATAGATAACGCATCAAGTAAACAACCTCAAGCTTAAACTCTTGAGTGCTCAGTGACTTATTTGAAACAAACAGGTTAATGTGTCACGATGGTGCTGAATTTTATCATGTCGGCGTGTGGTATGACCCTGGATCTTAAAGCATATTTTGATCGATCCTAGTTGCAAATTTAGTTTTTGACCGCATTGAGATGTCACCGTTATAATTTGGAGATTAATGGTTTTGGCACTCTTAAATACTTTGTGCCGTCAACGATGGCAAAAGTGAAATGCAATGCTATGCAGTTTTCTAGGCAAATTGTGATTAGATTGCGCAACTCACTGTGACCCAATTTTCTATTTAAGGTGATTTTAAAATACTTGATTAAATACTATATGATGAAGTGTGTATTATAGAAGAAAAGCAACTTGTTTGTCGAAAGCTCCATAAGCAATTTTAGTCTCCCTTGAATCTGAAATCCTTTGTCACAAAAGAATTTAAATGTGAGTTAATAATTATTTAAAAAAAAAAAAAAAGCTTCCTCCCTTTTATCCTCAGTCTTCAACTCCTTTGCATTATATCACCGGTATTGCTCTTCTTCTCGGATTTTATTTTCAGCTAATTTAAAAATGATATGATGTGACGTGGCTGATGATTACAATCCATCGCTGTGGTAGTTTAAAAAAGAGAAGCTTTTTTTTTAAATCACGGGTGTGTGTTTTTCCATTAATAATACACATGCAATGGACATCCTTCTGTTGGTATGGAGGCTGCACACAAATGATGTAGATGGATTTCAATCTTGGTCGAGTTGTATTGGTGCTGTAGATGGTACACTCCTGGTTTATAGTTTAGACTCCTTATCTGCTCTGTAGGTCTGGCCAATCCAGGTAACGCCTTCACTGTCTTTTATGGAGAAAGGAACGTCTGGTGTGAGTACAAAATTCGACCTTTCTATGAGAAATTAATCCTTTCAAGTTGCTCATGTTGACGTTAAATCAAAACAGTGCGTTGTCTTCTTTCCAAGGGATTACCATCCGCTGTCCAGGCAGTCCCGGTCATGGCTCCAGGTTTGTGGAGAACACGGCGGCTGAGAAGCTGGTGAGTTTCTGAGATTTGTGTTGGTGTTTGTCCAGACTGACACGCACAACGCTGCTCCTTTGTCTTTTACAGCGCCGCATCATCAACTCTTTCCTGGATTTTAGAGAGAAGGAGAAACACAGGTAACATGTATTGAAGTGTCCATGTTTTAGATATGTCCTTTCAGAGACGAGGCCTGATGGGGCTGGTGCGGCACTTTGAGCGCACGTGTGAGTGTTTTGGGCTTGAGCTGCCAGTTGTGAAACTCTTCTTCGAGTGTATCTCTTGAGTGCGTGTATTGTACTGCCCCCTGGTGGCACACAACACCGTACTTCAATGGTCCAAAATGAAAATGAGTTTGCGTGCGGTTTAAAGTGTGTCATCCTCATCATGTGTCAATTCCAGGCTAAACACCAGCCAGTGCTTCACGCTCGGTGATGTCGCCACAGTGAATCTGACTATGGTGAAAGGGGGTGTGGCCTACAATGTCATTCCAGCTGAAATGGACGCCAGCTTTGACCTGAGGATCCCGCCAACAGTCAATCTCCAGGTGAGTGTTTTTACATATGCTGGAGGAGGTACGTGATTCGTTCAATTCAGCTTAACACACACTTTGCTTCTCGTCACATCAGGAGTTTGAAAAGATGATCCAGGGTTGGTGTAAAGAAGCAGGCGATGATGTCACCTATGACTTTGCTCAGGTTGGCACGTTTCCCGCTCGGATTCATTACTAACTGCTGCTTGAAAGTTGAATTGACTGCCACTGTTTTGTGCAGAAACACATGAACCAGAACATGACGTCCACACAAGAGAGCGATCCCTGGTGGAATGCTTTTAGTCAAACCTGCAAAGAAATGTGAGTTGCATGTTCACCCCACCACATCCCGTCCAGACTCATTTTTGTACACCGTGTTATCACACTGAAATCACTCATGTTCAGGGCATTATGAATTTATGGGAATGAACTAGCAAGTGCGAGTAATTTAATGGAATTTATCATATTCAAGCAATAAATGTAACAATTCACTTTTGTCATAGGTAAATATCCATGCATGCTAGGCCATTACCTTAATTGCCCCTTTTCCCTCCCCCAACTCCACTTGAGCTCAGACATATCAGAAGCTCGCTCGTAAGATGGATATGATAGATAGATGGATACTGTAGAGCAGGGTTAACTCATTGTTGTCGCGGGCCACATTGTAGTTACGGTTTGACTTGGAGGGCCGTTATGAATTTAGGGAAGCCATAAAAATATTTAATCCCCTCCACATATAACAAAATTAGAAGTCAAGAATAAGGACTGTTATTGTGCATTAAAAATGACAATTTGAAATTGTGGCTCAGACTTTAGCAAACATCATGGAACTTGACATGCTTGATTTGCTTTCTCGGGCCACATAAAATGATGTGGCGGGTCAGATCTGGCCCCCGGGCCTTGACTTTAACACCTGTGCTGTAGAGTGTTTATTCATCCCGTAAGGGACATTTAATAGCTACACCACTGTTTTATGGGGCCAAAACGTGGAATGATATACTTAGGCACCTTCATAAAACCCCAAATTGTGGTTTATAAAGTTTGATACGTGTTATCGTGTGTTGAAAATGTCTGCAGGGATATGACACTGCAGAAGGAGATATTTCCTGCCGCCACCGACAGCCGTTTCATCCGAGCCGTGAGTCTTTATTTTCCCTCCGTTTGTGACTGTTCCCTCCCACTAGTTTTTGCAGTCTGTTACTTTGTGTCGACCCCTTGTACTGTCTGTCCTTTAGGTGGGGATTCCTGCCATTGGCTTCTCCCCAATGAACCACACACCCATCCTACTGCACGACCACAATGAATATCTGAACGAACGCGTGTTCCTGAAAGGCATCGATGTGTACAACAAGCTCATCCCAGCTCTCGCCAACGTACCCGCCTCTCCAGATGAGGCTTAAGTGCTCGTTTTTCATAATTACCAAAGAAGTATGACAAGGCCACAAATTAGGCCTTGGCAACAGTGATTATTTTGATAATACTCAGGCTGTTTATTTTCTTTTAAAAAGACATTTCCACTGTTAATGTACGGGTGTAATCAAAATCAAATCTGCCACGGAGATTTGGATGTCTGACTGAAATTAAAATCATTGAACAATCACGTTAAGATAGCTACGGATAAATGAAAAGCACTTTTTGAATGAACTCTTCACCCCTACAATTTCATTTAATAAACTGCAGTTCAATAAATATACAGTACGTGATCATAATGATCAAATTTTCCTAATTTATTTTTCACACTGACATGAACTTGGAGCGAGTTTCCTGACGGCCTGCAGCATCGACGGTTCACCTCCAGCCGGCCATCTGCTTCAAGGACAGGCAAGAAATCTATTGACATTTAGCAAATGTCATGTTCAGTACATTATCATTTAAAGCATCTTAATGTGTGCCCACAATTTTTTTTTATTTGTGCAATCCTCTGTTAGCTGGAGTCTTAAATAATTAGTTCCATTGATTTAACTATTATCCCTTCAAAATTGGTTTAATAAAATATATTCATTTTATTTGTCATCTGACTTAAATAATTTGGTCATTTGTTGTGAATATGTTGAATGAATAAGAAAAATTACATGAGCATTTAGCATCTTTTAAAATTGTTATTTTTTTCAATAAATGCTTAATGAAACGTGTGGTTGACTGGTTAGCATATCCGCCTCACGGTGCAGAGGTTGTGTGTTTGAATCCGGGCCCTGGCCCTCCGGTGTGGAGTTTGCATGTTCTCCCTATGCCTGCGTGAGTTTTCTCCGGTTTCCTCCCACAAAAACATGCGTGGCACGTGAATTATTTGATCACTAAATGGTCCTTAGGCGTCACTATGAGTGTCAATGGTTATTTGTTTATGTGTGCTTAATAAACTGAGAACCAGTTCAGGGTGCACCCCGCCTACTGCCCCAAGTCGGCTGTGAAAGGCTTGGGCCTTATTCTTTCCTGTATTTTGATGATGGTCATGAAGCAGTGAATGTCAACTTGAGCTAATCTGAAAAATAAGGTCATGGATAACCAAAAGTACTTCAGGGCTAGCATTGCCCATGTTCAGAAATGTCAATTTTTTTGTTGTTGTTTTTAAGACATTTTATAAATACAGATTTTGCTAGTGTTTAAAAGGTGCAGTTAACTGTAACCACACCTTTATTGTTTTACACATGTGTATTCATTCCTTCGAATTCATATTCAACCTAGTGGCTTTAAAATAAATGGCAGTACACAGCTTTGGGCGCAAAATACACTTATTCCTTACGATGCAAGAGGCTGCTTTAGCTTGAAAGGTGATTTTTTTACATAGACTGAATATAATAAACACGCAGTTCTAAATTCGGTTCGAGACCCAATAGAGTGAAATTGAGATGGAATAAGCAAGTGAGAAATCTCCACTTATTTTTATTTGCAAGGCTGTTTACATGACGTGTCTGTTCACATTCACAGTTCAGCTCCCTTTGGAGATCTCGTCCAATTAACGGTGTTTGCCTCTCCATGGGGAACTGGCAGGAAGGCTGCGCAGTCAGTAATTAGTCTTGGCTCTCCCCAGGACATGACAGCTGTATTAGCATATGGAGGAGCCGCCAGGGACATGACTTAAAGCTGCACCCACATCTGCCCTCCCCAAGCGAGCATAGATTGGTTCAGTTATCGGCTTTATGATGAATGTATGAAATAGTCACCTTGATTATTGAACGCGCGCACAGACATACACACACGAGTGTAGATTGGAGTTTACCAACCTTTTTGAAAGTTAGCTACTTCCCTGGCACTGAGATGAATGCAAAGGGCTTCCAGTTTCAAACACGTGTCTGAAAAAAAAAACCAATTAGCTCAAGTTGCCTCTCATAAGGTGTTATTAAATGCGATTAATGCTATCCATCTCTGTGAAGATGCGGATCATGCCAATGATTTGTCACAGGAATTATCAACAATGATTGAACACAAGAAACAGATAAAGATCAATATGCAACCCTATTTCAAAACATTTCTGCAAGTGTTCACATTTTCAAATGATCTCTTGCAAAATATGCCTAGGAAATCACACTGGTGAGCTATTTTTAGAACAGGCCCACAGGTTATTTGTGGCCGCTGGTGGGGGGTCAGTAACTGGTGGCCGCAGGCACCATGATTGTATTGTTTGCCTTTCGTCTTATTTCAGTAATTCCGTTTTTTTTTTTTTTCCAGTCGATGATTCACCGACCTCCTCCAGCGCCAGTCACATCAGGTAAAGCTCAGGGGTCACATCAGGTCAACACTGAGGTTCGTACCGGTGGAAATTGAGTACGTTTTCATACAAAAATGAATGTACAGTAAAAGTTGGAAGCGAGCAAAGGAGTGGTACAAAAGTAATGAACATTTCTTGATTTTTGTTGTTGAATTTCCCCTTCATTTTTTTGTGACTTAAGATATTTTTTCACCTAAACTCGCAGGATGAAAAAAAAAGCAAATATTATAATAAAAGCATTCGAAAAAGATACTATAAGGCATGCTTACTTAAATTTATACCGTGTCTTGCGTATCTGAAGCGACGCGCACACTGTAAGTCATCCAACTGAGTGGCATTTCTTTCCACTGCGATGGCCTGCTGTGCGACGACACCAGCAACGGTCTTAACATTCTCTTTGAAATATCATCCGCTCACTGCATTTAACTGTGCAGAATGAATCTCTAATCCGCAGTACAAAAAAAAAAATGAAGATAGCTGTTTGGATTCTTTCACAGTGAAATTGCATACAGGTATTGAACATCATTTATAATAAAGGCTGCCAGCAGTTTAGATTAGCCAGAAGGGGAACTGTGCTACTGTGCATGCATCACTAACAACAGCGCTAGATCACAGATGCTAAGGGGACAGGGGGAGGCGGGTGGGGGGTATTTCTTTTGTACTATTAAGAGATTGGTGCAGAAAATGTAACTGTATTTATATTATTCCTGTTCCCTCCTTTAGCTCGAAAGTGTGTAAGCCCCATGTAAATGTTCTCTTCTGGTAGCGTTTTGCATTTGATCATTTATTTTCCATCATTTCTCTTGCTCATACAAAAGAAGAAAATGTAAAATGTCTGGCCAATACTTTAAAGTGTTACAACATAGCGAGGTCCTGCAGGCTCATTTCCACGCTCCGGTTGTGCTGATTCTGCATGGTTAGAGAGATCGCAGCCTCTGCACCATAATATTTCACTCATACGGGAATCAGGCATGCGAATTGCTGTCAGGCCAGCGATTGCTGCCATCAAATCTATATTCATGAACACTGTAGCGACTTCTTGTGATCGAAAATTCATGAATACCAGCAATGTGAAGACGGACGTTTTTCTGTATTAGGGTTTTTTTTTTTTGCCCTTTGGCGGTCAATAAGCGTGACAAAGCTGCTATGAATTATTGAACACACGTATATATTTATATGTAATTGAACAATGATAGTTTAATAGGCCCTCAGTATGATTATGTACTATTTCAACACTACTTAAAATACTCAACATTAGTAATAATTCAAATATATAGTCCAGTGTAATCAAACTGTGATGCTAAATATTTAAAGAACATTTAACTCCAGGTAGCTAAATACAAATTTCACAAAGAGATGTGTTTGTCAGCTGTTTTAACACTTTTTCCCCCTGTTTACTAAAAGTGATTTTTTTTTTTTTTTGCTGTGAGCGCATGAACCTTGCGATTATACCCTCGCAGCCTGCACATATTTTATGATCCAAGAAGCTTGACGTAGCTGAAGCCGAAGATGATTCTTGTGGGAGTGTGCCCTTTGTTGGTGCTGTAATGTGTGGCTGGCACATTTGCACCGATTTGGCTGTTAGTGTTTGCTTATCTGCCCCAGTCGCTGTGTTTTTACTGTTCAAAGGGAAACAGAAAGCCGTTAATTAGTAAAGTCATTTGAGTGCTTCACAACATACAGCTGCATCAATATGCAAAGCGCTATTGTATTTTTGACTATTGCACAAAGATGGTAATGTCTGTGAAGCCGTTTTTCATCTTCAGAATCGTCTCGTTTTGCTCTCAAGTCACCGTCTAATCAGCCGTACTCCTTTTCCGTATTCCTTCAAACTAAGACTCCCGCGTAACAGGAAGTCAGAAAGAAAGGTACGATATTGCAAAAAAAAAAAGCCAAATAAACACAAATTATTTTTCGACAACAGTTAACAACATTTAGAAGTCAAGAAGAGAAAACAAAACCATGTTACAAAAAAAAATATTAAAGAGGATACAATAACAACATTTAAATGAATTAAGGCTATGACTATTTTAGTCATGGACAATTCCGGAGCCAATGGTGCGTCCTCGGCAATATTCTTCAATGACGCCCCCTTCTGTCGGTGATAATACCGACACTTACAAAAGTGAAGTGAACGTCCCTAGCATCTGCCCATGTGGCCTCACGAGGAGCAAGAAGGCCTTGCTGGCCCGTGACCGCCCAGAACTGGAAATCCCTCTCAGTATGCATTGACCACATCAGTAAACATCTTGTTCACGTTTTCTCTATCTGATAGTGTTCATCACAAATGAGCTTTGTTATATTCTGTGAAGGTTTTTCTTTTTTACACATCTCTTAGCAATCGATTGTTTCAGATTCCCCTGCGGCTACAGTGTTCACTTCTGTTGCGTTCACTGACTTGTGGCACCTAGATGCTCCTTGCAGCTCATTTATGGTAAAACATGCTCAATTTATGCAAACCCCACGTGGCCCTGTAGTTATAAATAAAGCCTCAACTTGATGCTTCGCTGTTGCCTAGTGAACGCGCTCTCTTCCGTCCGGTGTGGAGAGAGAGTGTCGTGGACGCGCCGGCTTGTGTGTGTGTGTGTGTGTGTGTGTGTGTGTGTGTGTGTGTGTGTGTGTGTGTGTGTGTGTGTGTGGGGG